GCCCATCCCAGCCCTAACCTTCACCATTCACTGTGTGGGGGGCGTTTTTTGTTTGTTTGTTGCTTTTTTATGTGAAAGGCAGCTAAGTTTTTATAAGGAGAGAGAGTCACCGAAGAAGCCCCAAGACCCACAGCACAAGAGATGAGTACAGGGTAGAGGACACCACAATTCTGATGCCCCACCTGCTGTTGCAAACCAAACCTCACAAAGACCTTGACTGTGTAAAGGTCAGGCCAAAAGTCCTTCTACCCCAGCCTCTGACAGCAGCCAAACACAGATGCTCGAGACAGCAGAATAAGCAAGTGCTTCTTGGCTACCCAGCTGCCAGGGATTTTACTATTACACCTGTGAAGTCCTCTGCACTGTTTTCAAATTAAAGCACATCCTTGAAGTACAAAACAGAACCAAAAAAAAACCCCCTGTCAAACAAGAAGAGGATATTGGCTACTACTACTACTAGACTTGAACAAGGCTCCTGGGGTTATCCAATATCCTGCTCCTGAGCTGTTTCAAATGCTCGAGGCCCTTCATAACTCTTGCACAAAGAAATGAGGAGTTTTATTACTCATTAGGATGATGAAAAGGAAACGTGATTCATTAGCGTAAATTCAAAACGCTACAAACAAATAACCAGGCAACCACACCAACTGCAACTCCGCAAGAGTTTTCGGAAGTATCCACAGAAGATACATTTTAGCAGCTGAAAACAATTAACTTCGTGCTTTTCTGAAGATTTTACATCAAACTACAGGTTTTGCCTACGACGCGAAACCTCCCAGAACTTCAGAGGTAGCTGAGACACCTGCCCAGGGCACTGCAGGAAACCAGGACAAGCCTTACTTGAGCTAGGACGTGCCATTTCCAAGCAGAGCTTCTGCTTCTTTGACGACGAAGCCCTGAGGCCGCAGGGCGCTCGGGAAACCAACCTTCTTGCGGCGAGTTGGAAGAGACTCATCAGCACCGCTGGGGAGTCACTGAGCAGGAGGGCGTGGAAAACAAGAAGCCCGTTGAGGGAGCAGGTTCCTGCCAGCTCCCTGGGAGGAGCTCTCCGCAAAGAACCAGGTACAAGCATCGCTCGTGTTTGTTTTCCTCCCGCATCCTCAGCTCCCCGCCCCAAGCGCAGACCCCGGCACAGGGAAGCTGTGCCTGCCCCCTCCCTGGAAACGTTCCCGGCCGGGCTGGACGGGGCTTGGACCAACCTGCTCCAGTGGGAGGTGTCCCTGTTTGCTACCACATCATCTCCTAAGGCCCTTCCCGACCCAGCCCGTCCTACCATCACCTCCACCCGCAGACCCCCCCGGC